TTGTCACAAGCCCTGGCCTGGGAGCTGTTGCTAGAAGCCTCTGTCCTGTTCCCCAAGCCCGTGTCCCCACAAGGCTAGCACATGGGACTCAGGACCTCCTTGGACAGGGGCACGCCTGGCTCTTCCCTGGGGCCTGCTGGCCGGTGTGGGAGAAGGGTAGCACTGGTGCAAGGGAATCTGCTCCTCTCTCGTATACTCACATATTCCTGAGCAAAGTCAATGAGGTTCTGGAGGTCAATGTCATCCCGGTAGGCCTTGACGTTGTTGTTGATGAAAAGGTTGAGCTGGTCTCTAATCCAGTCCTTGAAGACGAAGGCCAGGATCCCTGTCGCCAGCTCCAGGAAGAAGATGAGGCCAAGGAACACGGAGAACTAGGTTGGGGTATATGGACAGTGAGGGCTAGAGACACAGATCTCTGGGGAACCACAGAGAAGACCTCCACCCCTATCTCCAGCAAGACCCAAGGGAGGCCTGAATCCCTGGTTCCCATTCTCTTTCATTTTTGCACTGTTTACCTTTCGTGGGGGGGGGGGGATACTGCTAGTGATTGAACCCAAGGCTCCATATAAGCTAGCCAAGCATTCTAACACTGAGATATACCCTTATCCCTTTTAGTACTGTTTTATGATGGTACAAGGCAGGAGTGTTCTTACCTAGTCTTCTCTCTTCCAGTAACCACATCTGCTTTTCAAAAACCATCCACTATGCATCTTTCCTCTTTCTCTACTCTTAGATACAGGACAGGGGGTGTGCCACCAGCCCACCAATCAGAGCACTACTTCCTTCCAGAACACAAGGATTGGTCCAGAGACAGCCAATCATAACAAAGAAGATGCAATTAAGCACTCTGGGAGAGAGATTGAGAGAAAAGTGTTTCAGCCTCTAGCCCAGGTTCCTAGGAGGGCAGGATGAAGCCTGTGGCCTGTTCTTGGGCATCCTTCTCCCATCAGGGAATGGAGCCCACTCAGGGGGAGCAGAGCTGAGAAAGCGAGAGAGACCTGGCCTGGGGACACTGTGGTGGTCACCATGGCCACACACCCCTAGGCTTTTTTTTCACATGAGCCAACAAGTATCTTTTTCTGATTAGGGCACTGGGTTTTGGTCACTTAAAACAGAAAAGACCAGAATAAATGTAGGTAACATGAATCTAACAATAATGATAGCGTAACAATAAAGCCACCCCACACTAAGCACCAACAAAGCTACAAGAACTGGCTAGGAAGAGGTTGGGGTGGATCTCAGGTTAGGAGGGGCACTTACAAACTTAAGCAGGAAGGTGTTCTCCCGGAGGGCTCCGATACACCCAGCAAAGCCCAGCACCGACATGACGCCTCCAACCACCACAAACAGCCACACAGGGTCAAGGCCTCCCAGATCTGTCAGTGCCGATATGTTGGAAAGAACACCCTGCACAGGGGAACAAGACGCAGGTGTGAGGGGTGGCCTTTCCCAGCACCTGGCCCCACAGGCAGTCCCATACCCCGCCCCACTGCCTACCTTCTCACTCCAGGCCCAGAGGCCGATGGCTAGGAACAGGCCTCCCAGCACCTGCAAGAACAGCAGCAAACAGCTCAGGGGTAGACATCAGCACCTGGTCCTCCCCGACCCTCCTGCATCCTTCTGCAGAACTCAGGGCCTTCCATCCAGGGAGACAGGAGGAGGGGCACAGGCTGGGAATGGACCCAGGGTCCTTCCCACCTTCCCAAGGACACATCTCAGGACTTCTTCCCCTTATGGCAGCCTGGAGGACTGAAGCCACCTCTAGCAACTGCACGGACCTCAGGGGCCCAGTTCTGGAACTTAAAAGTGAAACAGAAAGTGGCTGAAACACTCCTACCCACAGGGAGCAGCAGCAAACTCTGCTCCAACTCCAGGCCACTTCTGAAGCTCCAGGCTCCCAGTTCCCCTACTCCCCATTTCGAAGCCCTCCTGCCTGCAATTCTGTCACCCCACGCTCCTCAACATGCAGCATGTCATGTACACACATGCGTGCACACATGTGTGATGCTGGGGATTGGATCAGACCCAGGGGGTGGTGCAGCTGAGCACCACCTCTACCACCTGGATCATACTCCCAACCTGTACCCCACTTCTTTAACCGCAAGAACAGCAGGAAACAGCAGTGGCCCCTGAGGAACAAAAAATCCCAATGCAGAGAAGTTCGTGATGAGCCCCATCCCACCCTAGAACACATTCAGCTCTGGACCTGAGCAGTCCCTGCCTGTCCCCTGCACTATCCTCATCTTTCCCACTATCCTGCCTCATCTCCTTGCTGGAAAAAATCCTGAATGTCAAGACCACCTACACTCTTAGGCCTGATCCTGGGCAGGTCCCTGGACATCCATTCTCAGAGAAAGAGATTCCACCCAAGAATGAGGAGCTGGTCCCTGTCAACTCCACCCCCACCATCCTCTTTTGTGGCCCTAGGTTCCACCACTGCTGTGCTCTCTCTGGGAGCATTTTCCCTTTCCTCTCTGGCACCGGGCCTGATGATGTGCACTGCTTATACCTTGGCCCCACTTGCTCTGTCCCCAGCCTTTGGAGAGGTGACTGACCAACACTTTCTCCTTCCCCTTGGTTCACTCAATCCCTTTCCTCCCCCTGCTCCTTCTCAGCCTCCTTCCCAGGACAATACCTTCCCCTGCCCCATATCTGTTCACCCACTCCCCAGGTTCCAACCTTCTCCCCATCCTCCTCTTCACACCCATTTTCCATCCTACCATGACACTGCCATCTCCTGGATCTTCACCCAAACTTCTCCCTGGCTCTAGACCCCTATATCCACCCTCCTGCTACAGATACCCAGTGTCTCAGGCACTGTTCCAAGCCCTGGGAATACACTGGCCAATAGAACATGAACGCTCTCAGCCCCCAGGGCAAATACACCATGTAGGGTAAATAAACAACAGGCAAATGAACAAGGAAAAGTCATATATCAATAGATCCTTTAAAGAAAATCAGACGAGACTAGGGACTAGGAGTTCAGGGCTCCTTTAGCAAGATATAGTAGGGAGATGGGGCACTTTAGCTGAGGTCTGAACGATGGAAAGGAGCAGAAGGGCAAAGGCAGAGACCCCGAGGTAAGACCATGTCTTGCGGTACAGGGACCAAACTGAAAGGTGGCAAAGTCAGTTCCACAGGAAATGGGAGGCCATGGGGAGACAAGTGGGCTGGAGTCCAGGAGCAGTGAGAAACCACAAGAAAGTTCCCGGCAGGAAACACCAGGCCTGCCTGACACTGAAACAAAAATATCTCTGGGCCTGTTTTACAGGCACCTGCCTTGGCCCCCAAGTGGCCCGTCCTGTCAACTCCATTTCATGACTTTCCTAGAGCTTTCCTGTCTTTCCCAACCCCACCATCCCAGCTACATCCCACCCTCATCCCTGGACCCCCACATCCAGGCCCCATGTGTCACCCACGTTCCCCCTGGCAGCCAGACACAAAAGCCTGTGCATCCAACACAAAACCCAGATCAGACCATCACTCCCACAGGAAGCCCTAACAGAAAGCACCAGTGCCCTGCCCCTCACTGCCCTGCCCAGGGTCCCCTCTGCTCACTGCTCTGCCTCCCCTCCATCCACCGCTATTCAGCTGTCAGCCAGGCTGTGTGATCCTAGTAAATAACTTAAGCTCTCGGTGCTTATTCCTTCAGTTTCCCCATCTGTAAAAGGTAAATCGTAGGTGGTTGTGGGACTATAGCTCATTAGAACTCATTTGCTCCTGTAAGAACCCTAAGGAGCAAACTTCAGTATCCTCTGCTCCCACCAGAAAGCTGAGGCCCAGAAGAGGAGCGCGGACCTGACCAAGGCCTCACAGCGAGGCATGTGACTGACTGGCCTGCCTGACTTCCTCTCCTCGACAGTGTTCCCTGAACAGCTGCCCACACCCTCTCAAGCACTGCTGAGGCCCAGCGACTCCCTTGAAGGGGCCAGCCCCAGAGGCACGTGGGTAGAGAGCAGAGCCCAAATCCTGCTGAACACAAGAGAAAGGGCCTGGCATTTTGACCCAAGGCTTGGAAGCAGAGACTGCAGAGGTGGCAGCCTTGGAGATGGCATGGGGGAGGGAGAAGGGAAAGATGACATGGCAGGGCGCACGGTGCACACCGATGCTACCCTGGGACAGTCAGTAGCAGCTCCCTTCTCGGAGCCGACCCCGAGCCTGGCTGGGTCAGCTGTGGAATGGGCTTTGCTCCCTGGGGCTGAGGACTCGGTTGCGCCTCCCCTCTAATCTCCTAGCACCTCCCTCAGGTCGGGGAGAGCAGGACCCGAGCAACTTTGCAAGAGCCTAGGGAGAGGCACCAGACCTAGGTTTTGGAGGGGTTAGGAGGCGGGGATGGGCCAGACTCCTCCCCACCGGCTAAACCAAGGGTGGGGTTCATGCTCCTACAAGGAGGCTGGGCGAGAGCGGGCGAGCTGCACCCAGCGCGCCCCAGGGGTCTCCAAGCTAACCTGGCTTCCTTTTCCGATCCGCCTCCCGGGTTACCCGAGAGACTCCCCCACCCCCACTGTACTGGGCCCCGCCCCCCAGGCTTCCAGGCCTCGAGGCAACTCCCTCGGGTGGTCTCGGGACGAGGCGTGGGGGTGGAAGGAGTCGAGGATCTTTCCCGAGCCCCAAGCCTTCGGTGCTGAGTGGTCTCCCCTAGTTGGGGACTCAGCCTCCTTCTCCCACTTCCCCAGCACAGGGCCCGAAGCAGACCCTGCGCTCACCCAGAAGACAATGTTGAAGCCAAACAGGAAGTATTTCCCGCAGCAGCCGACCTCTGGTTCCTGGAAATGCTGGTGCTTGCCAGGCATGGTGAGGGGCCACCCGCCGGCCCGGACGCCGGGGCCGGGGACCGGGGACCAGGGACCTGACCCAGCCCTCCGCAGGCCGCCCTGGGCTGGGAGCCGCCCGGGGCCTAGCCCGGCGGCTGCGGCTTCCTGGCCGCGCCGCGCCCCGCCCGCCCCGCAGGAACCGCCCCCGGCGCGCCCACCGCCCCGCCCAAAGCGCGGCTCCACCCCCCCGAGCCCCCGCTCCGCCAGGGCTACGCCCCAACATAGCCCAGTCCTCTCGGAGCCCCGCCTCTGAGTGCTGGAGCCCGCCGGTGCTGCAATCTCCCAGCGTCCTTCAGACCCGCCAGAGACGCCCGCTGCGGGCGCTGGTCACGGCGGGCTCAGGACCAGCGTTCCCAGTCCTCTCCCCATCCCCGAGATGCTGTAACTGCCGCTTGCGTGAGCGGATGGGAATCTGGATCAAGTTAACACACGTCAGCACGTGTAATTACAACGGAGTCTAATCACATCACGTTTCACTCACAGAAATTCAGCTCTACCGATAACTGGCCCAAACTCAGGCCAGACGGCGACATTGGTCTTGTGAGTGCCACGCCTGTTGTTCTTGTCCCTTCGGTCCAGCCGGCGCCAGTCCCCCACCCCTTGGCATTTGAGGGCTCCAGTCTTTCACTCTTCCCCCACACCAGCTTAGGTCCTGCCCGGGCGCAGTGCCTGGGAATCTCACATGAGCTCCTTCAAGACAGGACAGGGCAGATCGATATTTAGGTGAAACTGAATCTTACTCAAAAGTTTAGTTAGAGCCCTCACAAAAAAATAATTCCAAGCTTGTTCAGAAGTATTTATTTAGAACAGGTACAGAAAATAGCTTAAGGTCATCATTTTCAAGTGAATCCACCACTAACAAAACCAGGGTGAGCCTCAGTCAACACCTAGCTCCTGTCCTGAGGGCTGGGGCTGGTCTATGCCCTCTCCTTCAATCTAACCCTAAAGCAGGCGAGGCACAGGCAGCACTGGCCCCAGCTGGCAGGCCCTGTCCAGAGAAGAGACAACAAAAGGCTCTTCAGGGCTTTCTCCACCATCCAGCCCCCAGGTAAAACAAGCAAACCTAAGTATTTCCTCCACCCTGTCATGGCCCTGTGGCCCCAAGAAAGGCTTGGACCTCAGACTGCTGCCACCACCACTACCCTGCCTCCAGGCCTAATCCCAACTCCCATTAAAGACTGTTCATTTGAAGCCGGTCAAAGTGGCAAGTCCCTATGGTCCAAGCCACTTAGCAGGCTGACCCAGGACTATTGCTTTAGCCCAAGTGATTAAGAACATACAAACCCCAAACAAAAAAAGGTGTTTATATGTACTTCAGGACAGGTAAAACCAGGCTATCTGTCCTCCAGTGCCGCCCAGGAACAGCAATACAGCCTGCCTTTCCCCATTCATCTCACAGCGGTAAGAAACTCAGAGGTGGCTGCCCCACAGATTAAGAGTGGTGCCAAGGGCCCCTCACACCACAAACTTATTCTTAGCTAAAGAGTTGCTCTTGGTGGCCGTGTCAATGTGGGCCTGGTACCCAATGACGGTCTTCACAGAGAGGCCCAGGCGCTCTTTGTACACACGCCTGGAGGATGGGGCACAGAGGAAAGGAAACAGTCAAACAGAGGGTCCTAGACGTAACCTAGGCGCAGATCTTTTGCCCCCCAAATTCCTACTCCGGTTGCAGCTACTCCTGTTGTGTTTTACCCATGCAGAAACCCAAAGTAGGACTCTAATGCAAGCAGAGTTGTACTGCTAGACATAGGTGAGAATCCAGATATACAGATGAGGAAGGAAGAAGGGCAGGGAGAGGAGAGTTCCAAAGATCTCCCTTGTGGGCCCAAGCTACCCCTACCCTCCTTCTTCCTAGAAAGGACCCAGCCCTCACCCAATGTGCAACACGCTGGCCTGGTCCTCTGCCTCCCTTGTCCACACAGCGATCTTGTCCCCCTTGGTACGGATGTTGATGACAGCTCCACACACCTCCTTGCTGTGCTCCTCGAAGCTCTCCCCAATCAGACATAGCAACTGGGCCCAAGCAGAGACTGAGACCTCCCCGCTGGGGCACAGAGACCACCCTGGCCACCCTTGAGACCACTGCAACCTGGAGACCCACACTAGCCTCTGCCTCTTCCCCTGGGGACACCCCCTACCAGTTCCGACACTCACTGTCTCCAGCCACAGACGGTCCAACTCACTGTGGCGCTGCTGTTTGGCAAGACTGACCAGCCAGCGGCCACCCCGCTTATTCCTGCTGTCTTCCCACATGGGCTCGATGCCATCCTGCAAGGTGGGATGACAGATCAACTGCCTCCCTTTGTTCAAAGGGAAGTGGGGACCCAGCTCTCTTGCCTGCAACTTTATCTGCTCTCTGCCCTAGTAGGCCACATTCTGTTACTGCCATCTACTCTGCATAAGCAGATGTCACTACCAACCACCTGCCCCCAGGCCCTGCAGCCTGCTGGTCACCTTTTACAGCCTTCTGTATGTGCACCGCTGTCCACTTTAATGAATGAAATTCCTTAAGAGTTCAAGCAGGGGTGGCTTCAGGAAGCCTCTGGGATAGACATCACCATGGGCAAGAGTGGACATCCCAGGCTTGGCACTTGGTCCCCAGACCTTTCTGGGTATAAGTCACCTGGGGAGATCTTTAAACATTGATGTCAGGCAATACTGATGCCTGTCCCTAGTTAAGACCAGAGACCTGGGCTCTTTCTCTGACACCCTTGTCCCATTCCCTTCTATACTCTTAAGCATCCTTCAGGTGCAGCTCAGGTCTGATACTCTTTGTCCCATCTGGGCTTCTGTACTGCAGCTCCTCCAATCAGAAATCACACCCTGCCCTGATCTAGGCTGTCTGTGCTTCCCCACCCCCAAATTCCCTGTGAGGGAGGAAGCCACCGAAGCTGGGAACAATCGGGCCCCTGTCCTTTGGGGGAGGAAGGACTTGAGAGCAGAGCTTACCTTGAACAGGGCGTAGTCACACCCAGGAGAGAGCTTACTAGCCAGCTGGATGTGGCTGTACATCCTGAAGGGAGAGACCACCACCACCCTGCCAATGCTGAATGCCCAGGCTTTTAGGGGCCTACTTGGCCTCCAACCTCCTACCTCCTTACACACCCACAGTTTCCCTCGGCTTTCTGACCTCCTAGCTTCTGTACGCTTGGGTGCTGCTGCCCAGAACTGCATCCCTATTTACCAGATCCTCGAAGCCCGCCTTCTCCTTGGAGCCGCCCCCTGACCCAAGTCCCCTGAAGCCCACACCTGGGGCTAGGGGGAGCCCTCCCCTGGGGGTTGTGCCTCCTCCCTTGATCTCCCACGGACACTCTGTGGCAGCCTAGTCCTCACTTTTTGGCCAAGACAGGTTCAGAGAGAAGGAACTTGCCTAAGATCACAAAGCCATGGAAGGGCAGCCAAGGTCTCCTCCTGCTGCTTCTACTCCCAAGGCTCTCTCCCTAAGCCCTAGCAAGACTTCCAGGGGTGGCTGTGCCCCAATCCCAATGGCTCTGGGCAGGAGCCCCCATCATCAACAAATGCTGAAGACCCCAGGGAGAGTGGCACAGCTGTGTAGCAAGCAATCCCCAGCTTCAATGCTATGGCTCTGGCACCCCAAATAACAGACACTCACGCCCAGAAGTCCTCCACAGTGTCAAATTTGGTGACCAGGTGCAAGTTGTCCTGCCAGGCCCGGCTTCGGTCATTCTTGAAGAACCACAGAGCCCACCTGGTGGGAAAGACGAATCAGGGAGCCCCTGTATCCAGCCGGGCAACACCTGGGCTAACAAGGAGCACCCCCCCTTCTCTTCAAGGACAAGCTAAGAGATGAGATTTAGGGCACAGACACCCCCCCCCAGGTGACTGAAGTTGGTTAGTTTGAAGTGTGGGGGAGGAATGGGGTGTTAAACCTGGAATTACAGCTGGTTAAAGCTGAAAGGGCCAAATGGTCCCAGGCTTTCAGCTCTGGCCTTTCACATGCAGAACTAAAGCTAAGAGCAAAAGGTTGTCCAAAACCATACAGCCAGAGAGCCCCAAGGCTGGCCCGATCACTGCTACCTGTTTTGCAGGGGGTGCAGCTCCAGCTTGACCTCCACGGGCCCTTCACCCCTAGCCTTTCCCCTCTGAGATAAGGGAGTCGTGATCCCAGGAGACTTTGGAGCCTTCTCTCCTGTGGATTCTCCCACTTCTGCCTTCTCTTGCTCTTTCTCCTCTTTCTCCTTCTTCTCCCTGACTTCACCCTCAGCTTCAATTGCCTGACCAAAGAAAATCAGGATGGGCTAGCTGTAAGCTCTGGCCCTGGCCACTCCCCTCACTTACTTCCACCACCCAGCTGGTGGTCTCTTGCCCTAGAAGGGCTAGCCAGCTGGACTTACATGGCAGAAGGTAGCCATGCCAAGCCTCAAGCTCCACAGGGACCCAGCATCTCCGGGGTCTCCAGCTGCTGGCTCTTAATACACCAGGACCCTGCCCACCTGCCCGGGGCAGGGGAGGGGGAGGAGCTAGCATGCTTGGAAAGGAGGCTGGTGATCAGGATTCTCCATCTGCAAGCATTTACTTGGTGAGCACCTTCTGCTCGCAGCCCAGGGCCCTGGACACAGCTGTGACCAGACAGCTCCAGCCTCTCACAGTGGGGCCAGAGAAATGAAGGTCAGGTCAGTATTGGGGGTCTGTGTCTTGCTGAGGGTGGTGACCCTGAATTTAAAGTAGACTGCCCAACAGATGGCAGAAGTAGCAGCATTGACACAGCCATGGTGGGGGGTGGTTTGCTGTTGTGCAGCCACCCAATCTCATCAAAGTGTAGGCCTTTATCTCTGGAAGCTTCTGAGTTTTGTTTTATTTTTGTTTTGTCAAATTTGGTGACCAGATGCAGGTTTCTTTTTTATTTTTTATTTTGAGACAAGGTCTCATTCGGTTGCACAAGCTGTCCTCAAACTTACAGTGCTCCTGCTGTAGCCTCCCACAGTGCTGGGATTACAGGCAGGTACCATCATACCCAGCTGAGCTTTTTAAAAATATAATTGTTTGCTAACATTCAGCAACAGGGAGATTTTATATTAAATCAGCTATGAGTTTCTCTTGAGAATTTGGAAGGTCTGGCGCCTTTAAGCCATCCGCCTCCCAGTTCCACGGTCCCCATGGCTGGGCTGCCCAGTGGAAGGTCCCACTTGGCCCCACACAGCCCCACCTCCTCTCCTGCCCCATCTGAGTGCTCTCCCCCCAGGCATTCATGGCAAGGCACAGAGCCATAGTCTCAAGGCCTGTTTCAAGGCTTGCCCTACCCTGGCCTTGAACCTCATTGAGTCTCAGTTTCTCCATCTGTAAAATGGGAATGCTAATGCGCGCCTCAGAAGCTTGTTGTATTGATGATGTAAATCACAAGCAGCCCATACAACAAGGTGGGGCTCCCTGCTCAATGGAAGTCAGCTGAGGACTACAAGGTGGGGAGGGACTAGGGAGGGAAGTGGGAGGAGCCCTGTCTCTGGACACCCTTTCCCAGCCTTCTGAACAACCCCTTTCATGCAGAGGACATAGCCTCCTCAAGCTTTTACACATTTCCTATCCTCCCCTCCACCACTTTCAGGGTTCCAGAGCCATGAAAGGGCCAATCCCTTCTCCTTCCCACACTGTGGGGAGTCCATAACCAGCTGAAGGCTGATAGTCAACATCTGCTCAACTATATGCTTAATCATACCCTGACATGTGCCTAACACAGGCTAGGGGCCGGGATGCAACAAGGAGCAATAGATGAGGGCTGTGTGGAAGCTCAGCGATAAAACACTGGCCTACCATGTGCAAGGCTCTGGGTTTAAATCCCTGACACACACACACTCAGGCCTACAGGGAGGACATTCACCAGATGATCTCACAAAGGCCTGAGTCTTCACAAGCACAAAGCTCTGAAAGAAAGGAATTTGGGGAGAGGAGACAGTAACAGTTCATGACCTGTAATGGGGCCTCGGAGTGGCAGTTCTCAAATGGGTGGATCAGAACCTCCTGCAGGGCTTGCTAAACAAGCCTGGCCCCTACCTGCCTCAGGCTTTCGGAGATTGGGCCTGAGAATGTTCATTTCTAGTGAGTTCCCTGGGGATGCTGTTCAGGGACTCCATTTGGAAAACAGCTGGCTTAGAGGCATCCATTTAGTGAGCTGAGACTGAAACATGAATGAGAGGTAACTAAAGGGTGAGCATGGTACTGTCTGTGACAAGCCTGTGGGGCAGAGCATGCGGTACTGGAGAAAGAGTGTGGCTCAAGCCTGAAGGCGGGGATGATAAGTCCCACCCCCAGGAGCAGTGCAGAGCCACCAAGTGCTTCAAGTGGGTGCAGCTGGCCTGGAGTGCGATCTCTGGATCTCTGGCCATACAGGAACCTGTGGCTGCAGAGTGAGCGGAAAGACATGGATGAGGACACTCATCCAGTTGTCCAGGTGACAGAGAGGGTAGCAGAGAAGGTGAAGAGGAGATGGTAGATTTAAGAGGTATTGAAAAGGAAACTCAGTGGTACTTGGTGAGCCCTGGAGAGGTGAGGCATGGTGTTCCAGTATCTATCACTGCATAACAAACACACCACTACCCCAAACATAAGGGCCTAAGACAATGATAATAATCCGTCTTCTCACATATCTGCAATTTGGGCAATACCCAGGAGAGACACCTCATCTCTGCTCCATCGAGATTGAAGAGAACAAATGCCAGTGACCCCATCCCCATTTCATCCCTTCATCCATACTGTGGGGATGACAATGCCTACTAGGAAGGATTGTTTTCAGTGTTTAATGATTTCATGGTTGGAGGACCTGGCACACAGTAGGTGTTCAATAAATTTTGCTCATTTGCCTCCCTCTTCCTCCACCAAATTGAGATTCTTGTCTCTCCCAGAGCCTGGGCCTCCTCTGTCCAAGCTCCTTCGCCAGGCCCCTGTTGGAGTGGGGTGTGTACGCTGCCTGCCCTGCAGAGAGCCTTCCTTCCTCCCCACCCTGAGGTCTCTGGACAGTAGGAATGCTGAGAAATATTTAGTCACACAGCCAGGCACCATGCATAGGGTTAAGGCACAGCTGGATTTTCACAGAAGCCAGGCAGGACTGGGATCCCTGGGATCCTCTCCAAGGAGCTCTCCCCACTAGGGTTTTCCCCATGTCCTCTCACCCTTCCCTCCCCAAGCTCCAGTAGTCATTCTTAGTACACCCTCTGAAAGGGGAGAGGGACGAGAAGAATGTAGATGCCAATGTCCAGGAAGTGAGACAACAGAAACAGTGAAGGCCCTTGAGAAGTCACAGGCACAGGCCTGACCAAGAGAACCCGGAAGCCTGGGCTTTGCTATCCTGTGCCCTAAAGGAAGGTTGGGGTAGGCGACATGCAACACTGGGAAACTGTTGTGTTAGAAAGTGGCATCCCAGTGTCCCCTACTGGGGATTCCATGCAACATGAAAGAAAAATGTGACAAACGTTAATAATTGATGAGTCTAGGTAAGAGGATTTATCTGGAGGGTTTTTTGGTTTTTTTGGTACCGGGGATCGAACTTGGGTCCTTGCACTTGCAAGGTGGGCGGTAGCACCACTGAGCTAAATCCCCGGCCCTATCTGCAGGTTTTATTCATTATTGTAACTTTTCCCTGGGTTTAAAATTTTAAAAAATAAAAATAAAAAGAGTGGGCTCCTAGGGCAGTGAAGCTCACCTGGTCCCAGCACCCGGAAGGAAGCTCCCCCTGCTACCATCCCAAGCTCCTAGGGCACAGAAGGTGAGCCATGTGGGTGCCAGAAGCATCCCCCCCATGGAAATGATAAGACACATAAACAAGCCTCAAAAACAGACTTCCAAATCACCTACAGCAACCCCAAAGGGAAACGAGATGGAACA